GTGAGGTGTCGGCTGTGACATGTGAAGCAGGTATGGACGCTCGTGCAGTCTCGTTGCTGGTGCCCTCGGGCAAAACAGTTCAAACATAACTGCTTCCTTTTAATGTAGTCCGAGCGCCCATTTACGTCCATTTCCAGGAACCGCGGACATAAGCGAATGGGGTGGTTCACCCTCGAACAGAGATCGCAACTCTTGGGGCCCGGAACCACTCGAGTCTCGTATGAATTGAGCCTTCGAGCAGGGGCAGTAGGAGTTCCCGACCTTAGCGGAAGTTGCCCGGAGCCACTAGGCCTGACGTCGTCGATTGCTTCCAGAGTGCGATGGCGCTCTGTCAGGAAGTTGTCTAATTCCTTCCATGTTGGAATTTCGGCCTTATTATGAACGGATTGCTCCCACATGGAAAGTGTGACTTTGGGGAGCTTTGACGAAATCATAAACACCAGGAGGCAGTCCCAAGCCTCAACATTGATGGCGGACATTGCTAGGGCTGTCAGACAACTCTGAATGGTGGCTTGGAGCTCCTTCAGCGAGACCCCGGACTCTTGAGAAATAGCCTGGAGGTTGAAAAGGATTTTCAACTGGCTATTGACCAATAGCCCCCGGTTCTCAAAGCGGTCTGTGAGGCTTTGCCAAGCGACGACAAACCCCTCATGGGTAAGCGGAGCCTTAGAAACGAAACGAGTCTGCCTCTGTGAAGGACCGGGGATTGTATTGACGGATTCGTCACTCTTTGCCCTTGGAATGTACGCCGTAGGCTTTAAAAGAGGCGTCCGCGGAGATGCGGATTGAGATCTGTCCAAACGGATGGTTGGGATCGGACGTGGCTTTTGGTCGTCTCCCGTGGGCATTCTCAGACACCAATTCGCTGGTCAGAGCTTGTCGACTGACGCGTGCCGGTCACTAATGTGATGAGACCGGTGAGATCGCGGACGAAATGCGATTGCAAGGCCAAGTGGGAATTAGAAGCGCCGATGTCGAGAGGAACGATGCGGCACAATTCGGATGTGGGAGAAACTTCAGGAAGCCAAAAAAAACCAGATGGGCCAAGGTTTGTTGAGATTCTAGGCGGATGTTCCCAGGTGCGGAGTAGAAGCAGCGTTAGGAAAATGACGGAACGGAAAATGGACAAGGACCGGAAAATTCGTGATCGTTCGGAAATATAACTGATGACTGTCTATATATGTATGTATATTTCGACCAGTATGGCTCGTACGTAAATATTTAATTTCTAACTATTTTCGAATTTGCGGAGCCGGAACGGTGGACTTGACCTTGGCTTGGATTGAACACAGAGAAAAAATAAATGATAAATTTCTGCCTAATTGTCGGATTTAATTATTATGGAGACAGACGGGTGGAGTTGAAAATTTCAATTTTTAATCAATGGAGGTTAAGTACCCCGAAGCTGGAACGGTGGAATTGAAACCGCGGCTAGGTTCAGAAAGAAGATCGACAATTAAATTATTTAAGTAAAATTTTTTTTTTTTTCGATAATTAAATTTTTGACTTTAATTATTGAGTGGCCGGAAAGGTGAATTAAAAACCCTGGCCCTTTGCTCGGACGGAAAATACGAATTAAATAAATTTTACTAGTTTAGTAGCGGAACAATGCCTAGACTGCTGGTGGACGATATCCAAATATCCAAAAAATCCAAAATATCCTGAATATCCAGATAATCCGGCTCGAAGGACCAAAATGTGTAGGGGGGCGCTGGTGCCGCAAAAGATTCCAGAAATAGGGGTTGAAAATAATAATTCGGGGGCGTCTTCAGGTAAGGTAAAAAACGCGTTCAGCTTTATTGGCTGCGTACAGAGGATTGCCAACTTAAAAACTAGTACAAAAAGAGACGATCGACGACAACCAACGAGCGAGAGAGAGGGCACAGAGGGGCGAGTGCGGATGCGCTCTTCAGCGCGGGTGCGCTCTTTAGCGCGGGTGCGCTCTTTAGCGCGGGTGCGCTCATCAGCGCGGATGCGCTCTTCAGCTGAGCGGCAACGACAACGACATTGCCCTGATATCAATAAATATTATTATAAATATTATTTTTGCTTAGAAAAAAAGAAAAAATTATAATTTACATTAATTGCATAAATCATTTACTCATTTTGCGCTGGGTAAACACTTTTTTCGCTACTAAACGTTTTCACAAATGATTTTCGTTCCAACATTGCCATCCATTGGCGAGCAAGTTCTTGCCAACGTAGACAAAATAGAATGGTTTCAATTTCATGTGAGCATTTTGGCGAACAAAAATTTGACGATAAACACTACCATCCACCGAAAAATTTCGGCGAGCACATGTTCGCCAACATGCTCGCCTGTGGATGGGCCCCTTGACGCACAAGGGTCATACCGAAAAATTGATTTGATTTTGAATTTGAAAATTTAAAATGTTGGAAACAACTGATTTGAATATGTACATCTTCGATTATTTTAAAAGTTCTTTGACGTTTTAATATCTAATTGGGTGTAAAAATATTAATTAATAATGATTTTATTTAAATTGTCGCAATATCCTGCCATGAAATTGATTTAAAATATGTATGGTGTGTCCCACAAATGTAAACTGACGAGATTAATTTCTACTAATTTAATTAGATCTGCAATTTCCAGCACATTGAATTCATTAACTTTATTTTGGCATTTATTTTATTTCTTTGATTTTCTACATTATTACAACAAAAAAGGCAGTCAAAAATGATTGTCCTCTGATGCCTCTGAAAAAATATCTGACGCCAGGCTTACCTACTTAAAAAAAAGTGATATGGAAAATATTAGTTAAGATAAGTAAAATTTAAGTTTTTATGCAATATTTGTTTGATGTGATATGTTTGTTTACATGTGCTTTAGAAAAGTTGCATATTTAACAATTGTAGCGTATCAATTTTCGTGTTTCTTGGGAGTGTGACGAGTTTCAAATGCATAGATCAGTGATGGGAAAACTTTCATTTTCCATAGCATATGGAATATATGCTACGCGTGCATATGTAGATTCGGGACTTATGCCACAAGGCTGCCGACATACTGACTGTGTGAGCACTCTCAAATTTTCTCATTTGCTTCTATTTTGCCTCATTTGACAGCCCAAACCTAAAAAATATATGTTTCCACCGAAAAATATTTAATCTGAAATTGGGTTAAAACAAGTTTTCACCATAGAAAGAAAATATATGTAGGTAGGGAAGCGTAGTTTGTAATTTGTCTAAGAACTCTTACTAGAAAAGCTTTCTCTAAAATTAAATACGCTATTTTAGTGCCTGTTCCAACTTTCAAATAAACGAAAATTGAAAAAAAAAAAACATTCGTTCAATGAATGCCCTCACTCATGGTTTTTTTTCTGCTACGCATACATTCAAATTTTAAACATGTGTGCGTTTTGTCCACTACTTCTTTATATTAATTGTTTTAGGTTGTGCAAGAATATTGGCAATGTATATGCAAAAGCATTTTATAGCAAATTAAAAAAAATATGTATACATGCTTATTTGATTTTAGATTTTGTAATATTATTTATTGATTTTAAATCTTCACGCTGGGGACCTGTAACATATTTATTGGTACGGTTTGGGTACTACAAAATCTTCGAATTTTTTATATCGATTTGGTTAGTTGGTGGTCTCTTAAAAAATGTTTTACTGAAATGATTTACTGTCTTAAAAACAGTTGTTGTTAATGGTAATACTAGGATTATAAGATGGAGGACGAACAAAAATTTTCAAATTATAACAGAATTCATATATAATATTGGTGTAAATAGTGTATAATAATTCATAAATATTTCGATTCTTTCGATAATGTATTGTTATCATAATACATTTGTGTTTCGTCGATAACCGGAAGTGCTGTCTCTGCCTTTTCTTCCTCAACCAACTAAGTGTGAAGTACGCTAATAATACAGCGTTGAAAACAATTATCGTAAGTTTATTTTCAATTAATAGTTATTTTGTATAATAAAAATAAAAATTTTTATAGATGCCACGAGAAATTAAAGAAGTGAAGGACTTCCTCAACAAAGCACGGCGTACCGATGCACGTGCAGTAAAAATAAAAAAAAACCCAACTAATACGAAATTTAAGATCCGTTGCTCTCGTTTCTTGTACACTCTTGTTGTGCAGGATAAAGAGAAAGCCGACAAAATAAAGCAGTCATTACCACCAGGATTGCAAGTTAAAGAAGTCAAGTAAAAAACTTACTTTATATCTCGCGCGTGATTTGGAACGCGAACATGAGTTGACTAAAATTTGTATGAAATTTTTAAATTTAATAAATTGAAGTTGCTACTTAAATTATTTGTTGTGTAACTCAATTAAATATGTCTTCAATTATCGTTAAAAAAAAGTATTGTTTTCATTACCTTCAATTACCAAAAAAGGAAAATTGACTAGATAATTCCTAATTTTTATACACTTGCAGAAGGTATTATAATTTAATAATTTAATTAGAATAAATTATAATTTTGTGCAACGCAGTGAAGGAGACATCTCCGACCCTATAAAGTATTTATTCTTGATCAGGATCACCGCCTGAATTGATATGAGCATGTCCGTCTGTCTGTTGCTACGCGAACAGATTCTATATTTGGTCAGGAGATCCCACCTACCCCCTTTATAACGATCGGCCGACTATATCTTATAGCAGCCGTATAACTGAACGATCGGAAATGGTATTTGGTAAAAATAACAACTTTTGTATTTTTAAAGATAGAAGTTTGGGTTTTTTTTTAGATTTTTTCTTGCAATAAATTGGTTATATTATGATATTCTTATGATGTTCGGCCAACTGTGTACATCAGATTTTTACCATATATGTATGTATATCCGGTTTTAACTGCAAGGGTATATCAACTTCGGCTCCGCCCGAAGTTAGCTTTCCTTTCTTTTTTGGCATCAATTAGTGTGCATTTATTTTAATTTTAGATATGTTATTTAAACTTCCACACTATAAGTTCGATGTAGTTTTACGTATTTTTAGCGAACTTTATTCAAATCAGACAACTGAATCATATAGAAACGAAACCATGGAAACAATACATATTTTTGTTATATTTCAGTCATATACTTTTAAAACTCTTCCCCTATCCAATCCCCAAGCTACACCTACTAAAATTATATCATTAAGAAAATTATAAATTAAAATAAATTAAGCTCTGCAATTTCCGAAGACAACTTGGGATTTAAGAAAAATTTTCTAGCTACATTTCCATCGTTGGACGATATATGTACGATACCTATGTACGTCTTTTGTCCACTATTCACATATTTCCCAGAAACGCCTTTTTGATTTTATGCTTTTGGTCTCAAACTATAAATTGTTGCTCCGGACTTTTAGCTTGCCGCATTTCGATAGCATTTCAGCAGCGCGCGCAAAATGTGACCTCGAAAATGTATTAGAATATTAACGATTACAAATACATTCGCACCTAACTTTAAAGGCTTTAAAATCTTAAAACTTAAGGATTTAACGTAATGGGAATTTCTCTTTAATATGAGGAATGAAATGTCATATATGCACGTGTGTTGCTCCCAGCATAAGCAAAGGCAAAGTACAATAACCATTTTTCGTGTTTTCCCTATTCTCAATCGTGCTAATCCGAATGCATTTTGTTGTTGGATTGCCGAAAATTTTTCACTGCAAAAAATTCATTTTTGTTGGAGGCAAACTCTCATTTTCCATAGCACGTGCGCATAGGGTAGGAAATTCTGCCGCAGCGCTGCCGGCACACTGACAGTGTGAGCACTCTCAAATTTTTTTAGAAGCTCTCTCATTTGCTCTCATTTGGCAGGCCAAACTTAAAAATCAAAATTTTTCCACTGAGAAAAATTTTTTGAGAAATTTGGTTAAAAAAAGTTTTCTCCATAGAAAATACAGATAAAGAAGCGTTGTTTTTCATTTGTTTAAGAACTGTTGCTAGCAAAGTTTTCTTTAAAAAAAAATACACTATTTTATGCTAAATGAAATTAAAAACTACGTTTTTTTTTCGCTTATTGAATGCTCTGCTCTCATTTTTTTTTTCTGTGAACAAATTTAAGACACAAAAAAGGAACAAACAAATACATAGATTTCCCATATCGAGTTAGTTTTTATTAAACTCACATTAAGTATACATTAATTTTATAAGGTAAAATGAATACCTTAAACTTTAAAATCCATTTTAAATAATAAATATTTTGTAAAACTGAACAGTGACCAGCCCGATTTGAAGTGCGCATTTGCTTTGAAATTTGTATTTCACCAGAGCTCCGATGCGGCTGTGCATATGAGCACGTGTTCATGATTTCGATTCTTTCAGCTCGTTTCGTTGATGTTTTGCACTTTAGTCATCGTTTTTGGATTTCGTTTCTAGGTGTATGCCTCTCTGCCTCGTATTTGTATTTATATGGTCTACGAATCTAGTAGTTTCCATTCTGAGTTCACGATGGATATACAGGTTGGATCCAATAAATAAGTTATTTTCAAAGTAATACGCAATTTGCGTGCGTGTCAAATAGCTGAAATGCGCGTGAGGCGCGCTTACCATGTTCCGGTCTCGTACTGCATCTACCTTTATCTGCAGTAGGAATATGAACCTACTGCGGGCAACGTAGGTTCCTAGAATTATTCTAACCGCATCATTTTTGACATTCGTTCGCTCCACACGTGAGGGCATAGAAATTGACGATGAATCGAAAAGTAACCGTTTCCGAACCTAACTATCGACCAAACCGGCCTCGAAGAAGACATTTTCACGGAAGTAAGAAAACTCCAGGTGACAGTGAAGAGAAATGCAGCGCGTCGGGTGCAAACTCGGAGCCTGAAAAGGGCCTCATATGGCCGTATCATGACGAGGAGGAACTATTTTATGGTCCTGGAATAGCTGAGGGGCCGTCCATATATTGCGTGACGCGCCTGGGGCGGGGGGGTCCGGGTTAACGTCACGGTATGTGGTCACGGGGGTCTAACCTCGTGTCATGGTTTGTCACGCGGGGGGGGGGGGGGGGTCAAAAAAGTCTGAAATTCGCGTCACGCAATATATGGACGGCCCCTGACTGAAGTTGCATCCAATTTGAGTAAGTGGAAAATCCTGTTTCACAAACGTAAACTTTAAACGCTTCTACTGAAAAGTCGTGTTTTCAAAGTCGCCGTGCAATGTACAGGTCAGAGATTTCATTTCAATCGAATTTTTTGCTTTATGTTTGAAATGAAATTCTCCACAACATGAATGAAAGGATTTTTCATATTTATTTGTTTGTTACACGTTTTTTTTACGAGCAAAGGTCATTTCTCTACTGGCAAGTGAGCACAGCATGTGCTAGGATACCGCAAAGGGGACACAGAGTCGGCGGAGCCTGATTCGCTGGCAGATGCGGAGCAAATGTCAAATCCACAGTCTCAAGGGTAAGGCACCTTTGTTCCAAGAACAAAGCCATAAATTCTTAATTTGGCAGGCAATCTTCCTGCTAGAGTCTTACCACTTTGTGGCACGGTCCAGCTTTAGGAAGATGATCTTGAATCCTTGGGCATCCTTGAACTTCGTCCGATGTCCCGGAACTCATTAGGGCCCGGATATGGCCATTGAATCGGTTGGATAAGTGCCGAAGGGTTGCAACGGATCTCGGCTCGACCACCCTTAGCTACGGGATCTCGTTTATATGATCCTGGAATATTACTCTTCGATTACTAAAACGATCGACTCTTCGATTACTGAATGATCAAGGGCAACATTATAGTTAGCGTCAGTAATCTCTAGCTTTCTCAAGGTCTCCAAGGCTGACTCCCGCAGACATGAAATAAGTCACCTGAGCTTCTTCACCTTGGTAAAGTGAGAATGGCTGTGAATCGTCGTCCAAAACAGGGCGCAGATGTGCGGCCCTTCAGCATACCCGCCGCTCTTCGGCATACGTTGGCATCGGCAACGGGGGCATTGAAGAAGCAGGCCTGTATAGAGTAGGGAAAATACCAGCACTGTCACTCGAGTTTGTGCACTTGTATCGTACGGTCGTGTTAAGCTCCTAATTAGCAACCACAGAGTGATCCTCAACTTCTTCTGTTGTGCTTATCTGCGCGTAATCTATTTTTAGACTCCGTACCGCCGGGGTCTTTACCGAGTCCGACCTATTTACCACTCGAGCATAGTGCAAGCGCTGTGTACGAATTTGCCCATTGGGCTCGGTCTTGTCTCTCGCTTGCGCTTCCACTGCCCAGCGAGAGATAAGAAGCAAAGACTTTTGAAGATTTTGAATTTGATTTCTATAATTTTCGTAATCGAAAACTATAGTAAATTAATAAATGGATGACAACACACCTTCTTATCCGCCTCTTCAGAAAGAACTGCCCGGATTTGAGAAGATGAAGAAAATCGCTGGCCAATCTCCAGCGGAACTTAGAGCCAGTCTTGCAAGAGACTTGGCTTAACGGCAATTGGACTCCCTTGGTCAACGAATCTCAGACGCAGTTAAAACTAGCTCTGCAACACCTGTAACCAACACCGTTACAGCTACGAGTGCCAGTTCTGGTACCACCACGTACACCGTCGCAGCTTCTTCATATAGCAGCCCAGTCTCTTCAGCAGTTTCTTCAGGAGGGCCTCTGCCTATAGAAACCAACAATGTCCCGATATTACCCGCTATGGGGTGCTCGTTTCAAGCAACAAGTACCTCTCGCAGCAGGAAACGAAACCCTCCAAGCTGCGGTAAAGAAAGAGATGACGTAAAGAAGCCTAAGGCAAATGTAAATAATGCCAAAATGGGCAATTTAAATCTTCCTTCGACGTCCAATGGACTGCGCAACAACCGATTCGCATCTCTGGCTGAAGAAACGAACCCAATTGAGGAGATGGAGACAAATGAGGAGACGAATGATCCTATTGGCCAAGCGCAAATTTCAAGCCAAAAACCTCCACCCATATGTGTTCCAAAGGTCACTGACATCCTCACTCTGGAACGAACTCTTAATGAAATCATTACAGAAAGTAGTTATGAGATTCGTACATCGAAATTCGGAATTACTCGCATATACACTGACGGTGCAGAGTCCTTCCGCAAGGTGGTTCGTAACCTGACTGCTTTAAATTGCGAGTTTTGGCATCATCAACTCCGTGAGGACAAGCCATTTAAGCTGGTGCTAAGGAACATACATTCCACGGTTCCAAAGGAGGAAATCGAGCGTTGCTTCACGGACAAAGGTTTCGAGGTTGTAAATATCTACTGTCCAAGAAAGCCTGGCAGTCGCGGCCCTACGGCCGACGTTAATGTTGATGATAGACAAAATCTATTTTTTGTCAATCTCAAGAAAACTACGAATGTCGCCG